ACAAATACAAGGATTTGTTTTTCTCTCTCCAACTAAATTTTGAGACTATTCAGACTAAGTCTCTTTGAATATTTGAGCACTAGCACTTTTGAATTTTGCACTTGTATTCTATCTCGTTTTTCTCTGTTCTTCTCACGCTCATTTGTCTTCAAGTCTTCATGGCTTTTTATAGTCAATCAAATATATCCGTTGGAGTGGGATAATTTGATATTTGAAATTTGAATCTTCATAGCCTGATATTGTTGACAGTAGTAGATCTTCAATTTTGATTTGATTTGTCAACTTGCCTGACAAAGTAATTATTTTTAGCACAACTTTGATTTTCTAGTTGTTTCTAAAAATATTACTTTAATTGTCAATTTGAATATCCAACGAATCTTTGAAATAAATTCATCTGATAGAATTTATTTCTAGGATAAGTTTTTATATTCATGCCTTCATAAATATATTTCCGTTCTGATCAAATGTCTTTCAGGCAATTTTGGAGTCTTGTAGCATGTGGGTGGACTTGGAGTAAATTCCTTCGAATTTATCCAATTTCTGATCATCTTGCTTTTTTGCCACATTGTGCTCCTTTGACTTGAACATCGTGCTCCTTGACTTTGAACATTGTGCTTCTTTCGATACATTGTGCTCTTCTGACAACATTGTGCTTCTTAGCAGAATTGATCACATTGTGCTCCTTTGGTGAGCATCGTGCTTCTTCGGACACATTGTGCTCCTTTAGCACACATTGTGCTCTTTTGACACACATTGTGCTCTTCTGAGCACACATCGAGCTCCTTCAAAAATCTGCCTTAGTAAAAATATTGGTCCTTGGGGGGAATCGATCTCGGGTGTGATCGTTTAGAGTAAGGACCTCTACCATTTCACCGTTAGGCTCATCCGATCATTTCTTGCAACGCCATTACTTTATGCTTCTTTCACAGATGAATACTCGTAGGACCAAAATTAATTTCTCAAATTAATTTTGTTCTTCCTATGGTAGATTCCTTCTGATTTCAATATTCTGATTTATGATGCTTGTACTAAAGACCTAAAGACCAAGGGGATCTAAAGATACATTTGGCTCATCAAAACTTACAAAAATATTCCTATCAGAAATTGATATGAGATTTGTGGGCAAGAAGAGATTAGGCCGACCGATATTCGGCGAGCCCGGATTAGGATCATTTTACGAAACGTGAAGTTCCTACCTCCCCATCTTATGATGAGATTGAGGTTCCGTAGTTACGATGTGGCGGTTGTGTGGGAAGCACCGTTCACTAGGGCTTCGCCGCGGCGAAGTGCCTGCATCCCATGACCCAGATTCTTGATATGATGAGAAAGACGAGAAAGAATGAGAACCATGTGATATGATGAGATTGATTGAGGTCCTCCTGTACTAAAGCTATATTGCTATATTTTGAGAGTAAGTTTAGATGCTTATATGTGAACTGTCTATACATGTGAATATGTGATACATTGATTGACTGTGGTGCCTATCTTTGATCCTATGTGTTAATAGCTAATTGATGAAGTCAAACAAACTATTTTCCAAACCTATATCTATATTTATGTTACAGGGTTGAGTGGTCTTATACTTAGCATTTTTATGCTAACGGGTTATTTTCCTATGTTTTCTTATATCCCTTTTCAGGTTGACTTGATGCATGATGAAAGCGCACTTATCGAGGTTGTAGTGTGTAGCTCTAGATTGTGATTTTGGTAGTTAGCCTTAGTAACCCTTCCTTCTTATTTTGGAGACTATTGTTTGATGTTTTAGCCTGTGCAACTACTCGAGGGTGGGTAGTTGTGGCGGTAGCACCCTCTTGTGGATGTTTATTTGGATTTAATCTATCTTAACTTTATCTCTTTTTCCCTTTCTTTTACCCTTATTTGGATGTTAGAATCTAGGCTCAAAAGTATAGAAAAATGGGGTGTTACTAACTACTTTGTAGATTCAGATGTACATTAATTATCACAAAGAGGTGTCAAACATAAGCAAAGATGAGAATAGAAATTTAAAAAACAAAAACATGGGTGGTCATTGGTCAACAATGGCATATTGAATGTTGCAGCAGCCCAACTGTAGAAAGTTTAGCCAAACAAAGTGCATGTAATGGAGAAGAGCAATATTAAGAAAAGAATGTCTATAGAACTTACCACTATCAGAACTGGAGAAATCGAAAACACTTCCATGTGAACACACCAATTTCGTAAATTTGAGACTTCTAAGGAAGAAGAGGAGAATCAAAAGTAATATAATCACATATTTTATACAAAGAAATTTGAAGATAAAAAAAAATATTAGAAGTTACAATTTAGAAATCACTATCACTATAGAACTCACAGCTATCAGAATTGGTGCAACCGAAAACACTCCTCTATATATACTGGTGTAGTCGAGACTTTTGAGGAGGGTAATTAAACAGACCATAGTGTAATTCAATAATCTCCGCGCCTATCATCAGAATGCCTGCAAATACATGGAACTCAAACTAATCAATAGACAATTGGTTGATTTGTTGGACAATGCGATGAGCTAATAAAAATTAAACAACAATCTAATTATCTGGCAAAACTGATATTATCCAAAGGATAGTTTAATTGAGAAGGAAAGAGCTGACCACAGGGAGAAACAGAATGACTTGCGTAAAAAGAAGTTAGAAATAAAGTCTATATCCAAACAAAATAATGACAAATTTGTAATTTCCTTAAACATTGATAGCAAACTTGTCCTAATTTCTCTTCCCTTTTGCTTATCTCCATCTATAGTAGGTAGGTTTAACTAAGGAATGAAGAAGCCAAAAGCTAGCTTGGGAAAACGTGCTTTGCCACTAACTTCAACAAGACGTTTGGTTGGAAGGAAGGAAGAAATTAGGGTGGAAATGAATTGTAATTTGGTGGAAAAAAAAAAACAAGGCGGGAATAAAGTATGAATTCAAATTGCATTGTTTCGTATGGAGAGGAATAGAATTATTGGAAATGAGAAGGAAAGAAATGGTATAAGGATTAAAATGTCATTATGTAATAATAATAATATTAATAATAATCAAGGATATAAAAAAAAAAAAAAAGAAAAAGAATAAGGGTCAAATAGGCCATCGAACTGCACAGGATAATGCGATTAGGCCACTGAACCTAAAAAACCAACAATTAGGTCCCTAAACTAACCAATTTCAAACAATTCTTCCAATTTCAAGGTTTCCAACAAGTTATCTTCTCAAATTAATTATTTTTTAAAAATAAATTTTAAAAAATAAATATTTTTAAATTAAAAAAAAACAGACTCCGGCCGGAGACAGTCCTGTTTTTTTTTTTTTAAATTTTACATAATTAATTTTAAAATTTTATTTTTGAAAGGATGACCTGTTGACCTGTTGGAAACCTTCAAATTGAAAAAATTATTTGAAATTGGTTAGTTTAGGGACCTAATTGTTGATTTTTTAGGTTCAATGGCCTAATTGAATTATTGTGTGCAGTTTGATGGCCTATTTGACCCTTATTCAAAAAAAATAAAAAAATCTTCATTTTTCCTTTTCCTTTCCCCATTGAATTGTAATTCATATGTGGGTATGAATTGCAATTCAACAAAACGAGAAAATTGCAATTCAATAGAATTGCAATTCCCTACAACCAAACACTGTAATTCGGATGACCAAAGAATTATACTGTAATTGAATTACAACTACATCGAACTAAACAACCCATAAAAGTTGGGGAATATAATGTAATATGGTAAACTTGTAATTTGTTTACAAGTTGAGGGAAATTGAAAAAAATAAATTTAAATGTTATATCAAAAAATTTAAGTTTCACGATTGTACATCAACACATGATAAAGGTGTCATTTTTTGGTAACTCCCAAATATTACATCCTGGCCGACAGAGCAATCATAGTAACTCAACTGAACCATAGAGGCTAGACCTTTACTTATGGCAAATTATTATATGAACTATGGTGTGGACCATGAATATAGGATACATTTTTAATATACTAAAGTTACATTATTTGTGTACTGAAAGTACATTATTTGATAGTATATATAAAATAATGTACTTTTAGTACTAAAATAATGTACCCTCAAATAATGTATTTTTAATATAAAATATATTAAAAATGTACTTTTTATTTATGGTTCACACAATTGTGTAAACCATGATCTATGCAATAATGATTGCCATTAGTGAGATTTGATCCCTCATCATTCTTTTCAAACTTCACCCCTATGATCAATTGAGCTACTCATGCGGGCAGCTCCCAAATATAATAACTATATGAGGTAATACCATTTGAGGTCCTCCGAGTATAGTGATTTTGCCACGTTTAGTCCCAAACTTTCAAATTGACCATCTGTGGTCCTTCGAGTTTCAAATTTAACCACTTGTGGTCCAAGTTAACCATCTATGGTCCTTCAACTATTAAAATTTGACCAACCATGGTCCTTTCAACAGGACTACCACTGGTTAAATTTTGAAACTTAAAGGACCATGGTTGGTTAACTTGGACCACAAATGGTTAAATTTGAAAGTCGAAGGACTACAGATGGTCAATTTGAAAGTTTAGGACTAAACGTGGCAAAACCATTATACTCGGAGGACCTCATATGGTATTAACTCTAAGAGCATCCACATCAGTGGATATTATGGAGATAATGTCAGATGAATTATCTTGGGTGGGGATAATAACAAATGTGGGGTGGGGTTATTTATCAAAATATTTGTTCTGCAAAATTGGGGAGAATGCAGAAAAAGAAGAAAAGGAAAGAGAAGAAAAAGGAGGCTGCTGTGCGCGTTTCGCGCACAGCAGCCACACGGGCGCGTCAGGCGCGCCTGACCCTTTACTTTTTTTTTTTTTTGTTTTTTAATTTTTGATTTTGATTTTTTTATTTTTTTTTCCTCCCCTTTCCACATTCTCTCTCCTAATCACTCTTACATTATCTCTCAATTCTCCCCAACCATTGTGGATGCTCTAACTATATTGGGGGAGATGTGGACTTTACAAAAAAAATTTAAAAAATAAAATAAAACTCAGACGTCAGAATCCCTCTGCTCCGCATTCAAAACCCTTTTCAGTTTTCACTTCAGTCTCAGGATCCTAAAATTGGAAGCCCTTGGATAAGTCGGAGAAAATGGCGAGTCTTGTATCTTCGGACTCAGAGGCCGAGTCGAAGGACTCGGAATCAAGCTCGGACTCTGAGGAACCTGCAATAGAAACTCGGGGAAAGGGGAAAATTTCACACTACGAGAAACAAAGACTGAAGAGAATCGAAGAGAACCGAGCGAGAATGGAAGCATTGGGCCTTCGCAAAATGACAGCTTCCTTAATGGGTTCGATTTCAAAGGCTCAAAAGAAAGTGGGTGACAAGAAGGGCAAGAAGAAGGTGGGTGCTGAGGAAGATGATGAGTACAAACCCTCTGAAGGTGAAGAGGGTTTGAGTTCTCCAGGTGAAGAAGATGAAAATGATAATGGCGGTGATGGATTCTCCAAGTCTGTGTCAAACAAGGTACTTAATAATTTTTGGGTGATATGGTATATGAATTGTCATTAATCTTGAATTTGGGTGCCTACTGCAATTGAAATGATGATTATGTATGCTCTCCGTTTGCGATTGCTTGGAAAGAGGAAAAGTTGAAAATTATTATAGACTGTTTGATTTACAAGAAAATATTTTTCCAAATTTGTAAAAAGAAAAACTGATTTTATCTGAGAATCTATTCTATAGAAAATGAATTTTTCAAATTTGAGGAAAATGATTTACTTGTTTTCTTTTACCAACCTTTTGATAAAACCTACAGCATGAATTTTTATATTACTCTTTCCTATCCTACTGTGTAAGAGCATTTGAGTTTTTATACTAATTATTTCTAAGAAGAGTTAATACCTTCTGTGTCCTGTTATATACTACGAGTTTTGACACGTTTAGTCCTAAACTTTCAAATTGACCCGTGTTACTTTGACTTTTAAATTGTTACCATACGTGGATTTGGTTTTTCAACTATCAAATTTTAACAAACCAGGTCCTTCCAGGAGGACCACTACTGGTTAAATTTTGAAAGTTAAAGGACCTGGTTAACTTGGGTCACGGATGGTAACAATTTAAAAGTCGAAGGACCACGTGTGGTCAATTTAAAAGTTTAGGACTAAACGTGGCAAAACCACCATACTTGGATGATCCCATATGGGAAATAGAAATGCAGAATCCCTGCCCACATTCTTAGATAGATCTTCTTTCATTTGCATGGAATGATATGCATCAGACATTCAGACACTTTTTATAATTTCTATTCCCCTTGGTGTCTTATCCAGTCCAAAATTAAAAAGTCTACTCCGAAGAAGGGAGCTTCAAATAATCAGCCTGTTAGTGAATCAGATTTTATGAACGACGATGATGCTTTGATGCAGGTACATGTAGAAAGTTCCAATTGTTTCTTTTGCCATTAAGCTGTTTACTCTTCTAGAGTTTTATATGGTGGCTATTATGCTGTCAAAATTGTCTTTGATATTGAACTATAAGCTTGTGCAGGCAATTGCTCTGTCACTACAAGATTCTGCTGGTTTTTTAGATGTGAGCAAAGCACCTAATAAAAGTGCTGGTGCTCATATCACAGGTGAAAATCATAGAGAGAAGAAAGTAGACTCCAGCACCCCAGAAGGCACAGGAAAACGGAAGAGAAAACAATCGGTTCGTTTTGATGTAGATGGGTGGTTTTGCTAGAAGAGAATGATTTTTGTTTCGATTTCATGAGTTTATATCTCCCCCGTCTTCTTATCAAGTTTCATTTGTTATCAACAGATCAGAAACCGGGTGCAAATGACTGAAGATGAATTCATTTTACACTTCTTTCAGTTTGATGGTAATGACTAGCATGCTTTATGTGGTTTCTATTTGCAGTAAAACTATTACTAAAACTATGGTTGATGCAAGTACACAAGTAAAATATACCAGACTTGAAAGCACTTTCAAGTCTGGTATATTTTAATTTCTGTAGCCATGTGGACTGTGTTTGAATGTTAAGAATGCTGGAATATATCTAGGTTCCGAATAGTTACTGAAATGAATACTTTAATTAATCCTATGCCTGCTTCTTTTACACTTAAAATATGAAATTAACATATGGATTGTGCTTATTTCTTCAACCATTTAACGCATAAAGATGGCTAAAGAGTGTACTCATCTTTTCCTGGTGTAACATGTTACCCACAACTCATATCCATGTACCTTGATAACTATGAAGAGATATTATGGCCCTGTTTGGTAACATAGTTAGCTTATCAGCCAATTTTGGCTTATTTGACCACTACTAGTTATTTGACTTGGTTAAACAATCAATATGAGTGTTTGATTAATTAGCTTTTTGTAACAACTTATAGCTCCAAAATGCTAAAATTCAAAAAGCTGTTGAAAGTAGCTTTTCGAGAAAGTCATTTTGCATGTAATCAGCTATCAACTAACAGTTAATTTACTAAACACTTTTCTACAATTAGCTAATGCTATCAGCTAGTCAAACCTACTAACCCAATCAGTTAACAGTTATAAGCTAATAGCTATTTACCAAACACCCTCATTATATAATGTAGCTCTACATTAGCACTGCATGCATTTGCATTTGCATCTAGTATTCGTTTAGGATATCAGATGCACTTATTGTAATGAACAGTTTATAGAGTTCCTACACCTCTATAGTATTTATGATAGGTTTATTCATAGTGGGCCCGAAATGTTGTGTGCATAAATAGAACAGAAGGTGGATAAATTATAAGTTTGTAATTTATCATTACATGCATTGGGGTTGATTAAAAATATTTCTTAAAACACTGTTCAGACAGGACATTTGGTTTTGCTTACAACAATTCAGTTGGATTTCTTGCCACTGATCAGTTGAGGTTAACACATTGCAGAGGCAGGAAAAGGGAGCATAAGTGTGAGAGATTTACGAAGAGTAGCAGCTGCACATGATTTTTTATGGTCAGATGAAGAACTAGGAGACATGATACACTGCTTTGATGTTGATGGAGATGGAAAGGTAATTACTAAAAAAATCTTTCATTTTCATTCCTTTTGATTCTCTACTTTTTATTGTGAAAATCCTGACATATGGTATGGAATGGAGTAAAAGTGGGGTAGCAGTTGGTGGTATTGTTATAGACAAATCACAAAGGCAAATTATACCATGGACCAGGGTTTACCTTGCATTGTGGACCTTAGTCCAGAATAGCCTTCAGGTACCTATAGTTAACAATTTATGTGCTTGTAAATAAATTGAAGGCACATAACATGTTAACCATAGACACATAATATGTTAACTACAGACACAATATTTTTGTGTTTGCAGTTAACATATTATGTGTTTGTAGTTACCATGTTATGTTTTTGTAGTTAACATGTCACGTGCCTTCAATTTATATACATGCACATAAACTGGTAACTGCAGGTATAGAATATGTCAACTGTAGACACATAATTTTTTGGACCAGGGTCAACAATGCAAGATGGACTCTGGTCCATGGTATAAAAATTGCCTAGACAAATGTATCAAAATTTTAGGCAAGAAAGAAATGGATCATTAATGAAAGTTGGGTGCTGAATTAATTGGAATTTGTTCAAATACCTATTAATATCAGCAGGAGTGCTAGGTCATTTGTGGTTGAACATGGAAACTCATTGACTTGTGTTTGGCTTTGTATTTGCTTTAATAATCATATTAATTGAAAAAAAAATGGAGTTTATATCCAATTTAGTCCTCGACATAGTTATCACGGCGCCCTATTAAGTCGCGGCGCCCCCCGACTTGTCGCCTAGGCGACTAGGCGACAAGTTAGGAAGAACAATATATATATATATATATATATATATATATATATATATATATATATATATATATATATATCTAAAGTTTAAACATGCTAAAGTCTAAACTCTAAACAATTAAACATATTCAAGTATTCAAGCATTCAACATATTAAGGTACCAAGTTACCAACTACATAGCACACAAGTAACACAACTACACAAGTAGAATACTAGAATAATCAACAAGACAACAATATCCAAGTTAAAAGTCTCAAAGGTCCATCAAGAAGTCATCAATATTTGTTTCTCTCTCATTGCCATCATTACTATCTTCATTTCCCACTTCATCATCATCTTGAACATCACCCTCATCTTCAATGTCTTCATCATCATTAGGAAAATGCTCTTCTTCATTTTGTTCTTCCTCATCTATCCTAGAACTAGGAGTACTAGTAGAAGCATTGCGGCGTCGTGAATAGCTCAACATTTGTGCACGTGAACCTTCCCCCGCGTGAGCTCTTGTAGAAAGATGAGAGCCCTCAAGGTTGTTTGATGCACCAATTGCTTCATCAACATGCCTCCATGAAAGGTCACCCCTAGGATAAACATCATCACTAGATTCACCACCATTAATCCATTCATTGTCCCATTGAAACTCTTCTAAGACCAATGGATTAAAGTTGGAGCCTTCTTCACGCATCTTTTGAAACCTACTTGCAATTTTGCGATTGTATTGAACATAGACCAAGTCATTCAATCTCTTATGTTCTAAGCGGTTTCTTTTCTTTGTATGGATCTAAAAAAGTAAAAGTACAAACATAAACAAGTTTAAAATTCTTGTATTAAAATTTTAGATAAATTATAATTTCTATAATACTATTTACTAATTAGGAAAACTATACTTACAAATTCAAATGTGCTCCAATTGCGCTCACAACCGGAAGATGAACAACAAAGGCTTGTGATGCGCATTGCTAGTGTTTGAAGCTCAATGCTAAGTCCACCAAAAGCATTCCACCAATCAACTATAAAATAAGTTTAAGATTAATCATATTTAATATACTTTGTACTTAGTGTCTTAGTAGTTATTTACTTAGTATGATAGTATTACTTACGAGGAGTCTTTGCTTTTTGTTGCTTGACTGCTAATGGCATTCCAAAGTCATTCCTCATAGTTATCTGCTTGATTGCTGATCTTCACTTGCAAGTCATCATCTTCAATGATCTTATGAAGTATTGTATTGAACATGGCTCGTTGCTTACGAGCACATGTACTATCCGTCGCCTTAAGGTCAAAGTATTTAGAAGGATTTAAAAATAAGGCGGCTCCATATAAATCCACTCCCATCTGATCATCCCATCTTCGTTCTACATAGCCATCAACTTTCCCAACAACCTTGGCTTGCTTGCAAATGATCCATTGAGCTTTTTCTTAGCAGCCAACATAGCCATCGTAAGCTCGGGCATAGCTAGAGTACTATCAGCATCAACGATCCTCAACACAATCAAAATGGGATGTGATGCCCTCAAGCAATCCTCAACTGCAGTCCAAAATCTATACGACAACACGATCTCACACACCTTTTTACCCGCTTCGGTGTTGGATAATTTTGAGCGAACCCAATCCTCACTAACAAATAGAGCTCTCAAAGCATTTTTGTGCTTGTACAAACTCTGTAAAGTGAGGAATGCTGTGGCGAATCGAGTAGCTCCAGCTCTTACAAGATCTTGCCCACCCGTATGCTCTCTCATGGCACTATGGATTCGCCCATGTCTATAAATAAAAGTGGTAACATTTCTATCACTTGCAATCTTGGACTTGAACTCCGTCATCTTCCCAATGTCCTCTAGCATGAGGTCAAGACAGTGTGCTGCACAAGGAGTCCAAAATAATGTCCGAATCCTCTCTTCCAAAAGTTTGCCCGCGGCTTTATAGTTTGCTCCATTGTCGGTCACTATTTGAACGACATTTTCTTTCCCAACTTCTACAACTTTTTGCTCCAACAATCCAGCTAACATTCTTGCATCGTGTGACTCACTCGATGCATCAACGGACTCCAAGAAAAAAGTCCCCTTGGGACTATTCACAAGAAAATTAATCAAATTCTACCTCTCTTATCGGTCCACCCATCAGACATGAGTGTGCACCCGTATTGCTTCCAAGCAAGTCTATGTCTTTCTTTCAACTTATCAGTCGCTTGCTTTGAGTCCAAAAGGAGGGGTACTCGTAACTCATGAAAGCTAGGAGGCTTCAATCCCGACCCCCATTGTCCAATTGATTCAACCATTACTTCAAAGCTTCTTGAATTAGCCGCACTAAATGGTATGCCATTCTCATAAAAAAAATCTGCTATATGTAGCATTGTCCTCTTTGTTTCTTCCTTACTCTTCGTACAAGCCTCAATTGTTCTTTGAGTAGGACCCTTGGAATGCCTCTCATCAACTACTTATTCAGGGGTCTTTCTAAGTAGTGATGCAACGGATTGAGTTTGTTTTCCTACTCTCGGTTGCGGTTCGGCAAATCTCAAAATGGTTTGTTTTCTCTTACTAGCCGTCCCGGAACTTGGATAAGTAACGGAATCGTTAGATGATGGTTGTGTTTTTTCCCTTGCCGATTCTTGCACATCATCATCCACATTATCATCCAAGACCACCCTTGATCTCTTCATTCTTGATGTGCCTTGCTTGTTGCATTTCCCTCATAATCTCCGTAGTTGTTTTGGGGCATTTAGCAACATCTCCGTAACCCGCCGCCAAGTGTTGTTTTAGTCTTTTGATTCCTGAATGCATTTGTTTGTGGCAAAGTGAACATTCGACTAAATCTTTGTTTGCCAAGTCCGGCCAAAAACCATACTTCCATCCCGGATCATTTGATTTAGCTTTCCTCTTAGGGTCGGTAGATGGATCATAGCTTTCATTTTCCGAATTTGTAGCCATAACTGAGTGTAATCCTACTGTCCAACCATGAAACAATGTACAATTTAAAAAAAAAAATTAAAAAAAAAAAAAATAAAGTAATGACCAAGTGGCAGGCAGTGAGCACTGCCCCTGCTCACTGCCCCCACGTGGCCATAAGGCCATTAATGGCTTAAATACCAAACAAAGTCATTTGACTCATTTCTTTGGTATATAAAGCCACTACAAATGAAAACAAAGAGAAAACAAACAAAAAAAAGAAGAAAAAAAATCGACGAAGTGAGTCAGTGACGAACAGCGAAGAAGAAAGAAGAAATCAGGAAACAACTCACAGGGAAACGGTGGTCTGGCGACGGCGGTGGTCCGTGGGTGACGGCAGTGGAGGGAGGGAGGGCGGGCGTCTACGTCTCGGAGTCGCACTGAAGGGCGCAGAGTCGCAGCAGTTTCTTGCGTTTTTGACTAAGTCTGAAAGTCTCGCACTTTCTATTTCTTATCTTAGGGTTTTTTCCTTATTAGTTGTTACTTAACTTTAAAAAAAAATTAAAAAAAAAAAAAAAAAAAAACCAAAAATGGGCCGGGTTTGCGGGTTGGACGACGGATTGGCGTTCATGGCGTCACCTGGGACGCCATGGCGACGCCTTGTCGACGCCATATCTCGATTCGCCCCTTTCAGGCGAGTCGAGCCCTCCAGGCGTCCTGTCTCCACCGACAGTACGCCAAGGCGTCGCCTAGGCGACGCCGTGATAACTACGGTCCTCGACTATAGTAGTTTTTTTCAATTTAGTGCTAAATGACTTTTTGTGCTTAATTAGGTCCTCAACTTTGATGGTTTTACCCAATTGAGTCCTGTGTTAACTGTTAAGATAGCTTGGTAATTTCACCTTTATTAATACCCAATTTAGTCATTGACTATAGTAGTTTTATCCAAGTTAGTCTTGACTATAGGGGTTTTACCCAATTTAGTACTCGACTATAGTGGTTTTATCGATTTAGTCTTTGATTCTAACAGTCGAGGACTCAATTGGAGAAAACCATCGAAGTGGAGGACTTAAGTACAAAAAGTCATTTAGGGACTAAATCATGAAAAAAATAACTGTAATCAAGGACTAAATTGGGTATTACATAAAAAAAAATGGCAGTGACATTTGCTCACCTTGATGAGGGGAGGGTAAAGTTAGAGTGGTTCAAACATGATGACAGCACATGAATAGGGGAATTATTTAAGATGCCGGAGATTGATTGGCATTTCATGTTCTTATCGTTGTATTGCAGCTTAGCCTTGAAGATTTTCGCAAGATTGTTATTCGATGCAACATGATGGTTAGTGTTGGATGATTTCATCCATGTTGTGGTCAAGCATTTAATCAAGGAAAGCGTTGTTTGCAGTAAAAGCTTTTTACTAGCATGAAGTACAACTACTCGATTAGGGAATCATTTGATAGACATGGATTCGAGTGGAGGGCTTCTGGTCTTCAAACTCAACTCAACTACCCCTAGCTAATGCTGTCTTGTATGGCTTGAAGTTTGATATTTTGATTGGGGAGAGTATTGGAGAACGAAAACATTAGTTATTGCCTTATATTGGTTATATTAGTGTAAAGTGAAGCCGAAGACTAGCGGACATTGATGTCATGTTTGGTAGGTTGTAATTGTAATTCAGCTATTGCCTAAAATTTTTTTGGGCAAATTATACCATGGGCAATTGGGTCTACCTTGCATTGTAAACCTTGATACAAAAATAGTTTTCAGATTTTGTATCTATAGTTGACACATTCTGTATTTGCAGTTGATAGTTCTAGTACTTGTAGCTATTATATCATGTGTCAACAATTATCAAGTTAGATTATGTATTTATAATTGACACATTATGTACTTGCAGTTGATAGTTTCTGTACATGTAACTATCATATTGTATGTCAACAATTATCAAGTTATTTGTTTATATGTACGAAAATTGTTATTTATTTACATGTACAAAAATTGTTAATTATACAAAATTTATGGAGTTAATTCCAGCATTAGTCCTCTGAGTATCATGATTTTCCATAATTAGTCCTCGACTTTTAATTTGGACAATTTAGACACCTGACTATCAAAATGTTTCCATTGTTGGTCCTTCCGTCCAAAACAGGTTAAATGCACGTTAAAATGAGGGATAAAAGAGTCTTTTAACATGCTTTGTGTAGAATACATCGCCGTTCTCCTCCATCTACGAAAATCTGTACCTGTAGTTCAGAGTTCAGACTCACAAGAAACACCGGCTGTCGGAGTCCCCTAACTCCTCTCACTTGAAGCCATGTTCAATCTGTACAGTTCTCCTCCACTAACTCCTCTCATCTGTACAGTTCAATTTGTACCTGAAGCCAAGTCCGCCCAATTCAACTCCACTAACTCCTCTCACATTCTTGGACAGGGCCGCCAACATATATGGTGACGCCACCTCCATCGTCTACAACGACGTCACCTTCACCTGGTCGGAAACTCATATCCGCTGCCTCCGCCTCGCTTATTCTCCATCATCTCTTTGGACATTCAGAGAGGTGACGTCGTCTCTGTTCTCCGTCCTCCTATGTTCGTTGACAGCAAGTACAGAGCTTTCGCAATTGAGGCTTTGTCTCTATTCTCGCCGAATTGGCCACGCCCCACTCTTATTCTCATTGCTGATCATGAATTTTCGAAGGAGCGCAGCGGCGGAGAGTTCGTTGAGACGTATGAAGGCATGGTCAACCCTTTTAAGTTCACACAATGGATCGACGCACGGCGGAGCGCAGCGACGGCGGCGCCGATGAGGTCTTCTGGATGAGATAAGGATCACCGTTTCTATTCCCAGCCCAATAGTGATTACAGAACTGCAATCTAAATACAAAGCGTTAACTATTCCTATTAACTAGGAAAGCCTGAAATAACTAATCTAATATAAGACTAGTCAAAGCTAATATTACAAATAATGGAATAAATAATAACATCACTAACACACCCCCTCAAGCTCAAGAGTGGTGCGGCATAATGTTGAGCTTGTCACGTAGATCTGCAAAGCGGGGCCCTGGCAAAGGTTTTGTAAATATATCTGCAAGCTGATCCTTCGTCGAAACATAATTAACAATCAAGTCTCCCAACACCACCTTGTCCCGAACGAAGTGGAAGTCAATCTCTACATGCTTGGTCCTGGCGTGAAACACTGGGTTGGCGCAAAGGTAGGTAGCACCCAGATTATCGCACCAAAGCGTAGAGGGTTCTCCTGAGTGTAACCCAAGCTCACGAAGCAGAGAGACCACCCAGGTAACTTCTACAGATACATCGGCGAGGGCCTTATACTCAGCTTCAGTCGAGGAGCGGGCTACTGTGCGCTGTTTCCGGGAGAGCCATGAGATCAGATTACCACCGAGAAACACAGCATATCCACTGGTGCTCTTCCTGTCGATAGGACAACCGGCCCAGTCCGAGTCAGAAAACCCATGAATAGTGGACGAAGCGGAAGCGGAGAGACGCAGACCATATGAGATAGTGCCTTTGATGTATCGCAGCACACGCTTCAATAAACCCCAATGATCACTGGTAGGTGAGTGCATAAACTGACATAGGCGATTGACAGAGAAAGATAAGTCAGGACGGGTGATGGTCAGATACTGAAGTGCCCCCACTAAGCGACGGTACTGCATCGGGTTGTCGAACAGTTCATCAGATGAAGTCACTGGCTGAGTAACGGCAGCAGGTGTGGCGAGTGGCTTGCAATCCGTCATGCCAGCACGGTTGAGAATGTCCCTCATATAACGTTGCTGCGTCAGTAAAAACCCCGAGCCATCTTTTAACGTCTTGATCCCGAGGAAAAAACTAGGAACTCCAAGGTCACGAATTTTGAACGTTGTTGACAGCCGTTGTAGTAAACGTGAGATGAGCTCAGGGTCGTTGCCCATCATTATTATGTCGTCGACATAAACAAGTAAGTACACTCGTGACGTCCCAGTAGAGTAGTGAAATAGGGACACATCTGTTTTAGAGGATAAGAAGCCTGCAGAAAGTAAAAAGTCATGTAAACGCTTAAACCAAGCTCGGGGTGCTTGTTTAAGCCCGTATAGCGACCGTTGAAGATGACACACATGATCTGGATGTGTCGGATCTTCGTACCCCGGTGGCTGCTTCATATAGACAGTTTCAGCTAGATGGCCGTTTAAAAAGGCATTATGGACGTCTAGCTGGCGCATAGTCCAGTCCCGTGAAACTGCAAGAGCAAATAATAAGCGAACAGTAGTCGGTTTGACTACAGGACTGAATGTGTCAAAGAAGTCTTCACCAGCCACCTGGTTAAACCCTTTAGCCACAAGCCGTGCTTTATACCGCTCGACCGAGCCATTAGCATTCCGTTTGGTGCGGAACACCCACTTGCACCCTACCACATTCATGTGTGGCTCAGCCGGTACAAGTTTCCAGGTATCATTATGTATAAGAGCGTTAAACTCTTGATCCATAGCATCCCGCCACTGCAGATGTCCTACTGCCTGTGAGTAACAGGTTGGATCTATAGTTGCAGTCAAGGCCTGAAACTGTTCTTCAGTACCCTTCGTTTGATGCCGTAGGCGCATAACATGCGCTCGTTCTTGTCCTTGTTTGCGGGTTTTTCAAGTGCGTGCACGCGGTGGCTCAGTCTGAGCGTGAGCTGGTCCCTCTATTGCCAAGGGCGGTGGCTCTTGAGCTAGTGGTGTAGGGCTGTTTGCACTAACACTCACCGCTTCACTGCAGAGCGATACTCTATCTTGTGCCGATTGTAAGGCCGAAGATAGGGATAACACTTGCACCCAAAGACTCGAAGGAAAGTGTATGGGGGCGGAGTTTTGTGTAGGCGTGAATATGGGCTATCAAACTGTAACACGGGTGTTGGTAGATAATTGATTAGGCAAGTAGCTGTTTCAAAAGCAAAGTCCCAATATTGCAAGGGAACTGAGCCTTCAGCTAATAGCGCTAAGCCGGTTTCAACAACGTGCCGGTTTTTGCGCTCAACTTTTCCGTTTTGCTCGTGTATACGCACATGACTGACGGTGAATTATTCCTAGTTGGGTGAAAACGTTATGTAATTTACGATATTCCCCTTCTAGGTCCGATTGAATAGACTTGATAGAACGCCCGAATTGGCGCTCTACCATGACACGAAACGACTCGAATATTTTATATATGTCTGATTTTACCCGTAAGGGATAAAACCAGCAGAAACGTGAGTAATCATCTACAAATAACACGAAATATCTAAAGCCACTAGTAGAGATTACAGGGGACGGACCCCAAATGTCTGTAAATAGCAAATCTAACACATTTTCACTACAGTGATTGACCCTATCTAGTGAAAGGCTTGGTCCTGCTTGACCCACGCCCGGTAAGCCGGAAATAACTAATCTAATATAAGACTAGTCAAAACTAATATTACAAATAATGGAATAAATAATAATATCACTAACATTCTGGAGCAAACCTTAGAACTCTTCTACCGCCGCAGGTGTTTCTTCTTCATTATATGTTGTTGCAGATGGCTTTGGTGAATATTAAGTTAACCAATAGGCAGTACAAATATGGGAACTCTAAATTTTTTTATGGAATATGACTAAGTACGTTTTTACTGGGAGCCTCATTGGTGTCACTATATATGATCGTTATGCCAGTGTAGTTTCTGTTAAAGGCACCTCCATGTCTCCAACATTTAACCCTCACGGAGATGGATTCTTGACTCGTGACCGTGTTTTATTGGAGAAATTATGCCTCGAAAAGTACAAGTTTTCTCAAGGTGATGTAGTGGATCATCATGAAGGCATGGTAAAAAAGGGCGACCGGATTTTCAAACGGATTCAACGATAACCGAATACGACCCGATCGTACTGAACTACACCTCTGCCACCTCTGCTCCCAAGGGGGTGGTTCATTGCTACAGAGGAATCGTCATTATTTCCTTGGATTCCCTAACCATGTTCCCTAACCTTGCATAATCTTCATTATCTTCTTGGATTCCCTAACCGGTGTATCTGTGGACCATATCCGGTGTATCTTCATTATCTTCTTCAGATCGCCAATATTTGCTACCGGAAGGTCGCCGCCGCCAACATCTATTCCGTGATTCTCAACCACAACGTGACGCTGCCGCGGGCAATTCTGTTACGAACAGAGTCGCTAGGGTTCGTAGTCAGCCACGACTACGGTCTAGGGGTTAACAAAATCCGCCGGGATCGCAGTCTCCTGCTCGTGAAGTACGACGGTTCAACTCTGGGCGAAGTGGTGCTCCGAGGCAGCAGCGTCATGCTGAGAATCTGGGATACCTCAAAGACTCCGAAGGAACCGCAAAAAGCTTGAAAATGGGTATTTTGATTGTAATCGTATATGGAGGATGTATTATACACCAAGCATGTTAAAAGACTATTTTAGCTCTTATTTTAAGGTTCATTTAACTATTTTGGGACGGAAGGACCAACATTGGAAATATTTTGATAGTCAAGTGTCTAAATCGTCCAAATTGAAAGTCGAGGACCAATTGTGGAAAATCATGATAGTCGGAGAACCAATGCTGGAATTAACTCAAAATTTATGTATCAAGATTCACAATCAATATGAATTTTGGTTCATGGTATAACAATTGGTTTTTTGGTTGGAGCTTTGAATGGAATTGCAATTCACTAGGAATTGAAATTCATGAATCCCCCAATAAATTTTAATTTGGTGGTGAAAGGGAAAAAATAAAAAAGA